TCCCTCTGAGAGACCAGCAAGTCCCTGGGATACCCTCAAGGGAAGGCAGCATGGCCCGGAGCAGCCCCGACAGACCCCATGCTCATCCCCTTCCCCAGAATTAGCCCCTTTTTTTCCCCTGCTTTTTTACCTGGGCAGGGAAAAGGCAGCTGCAGGTTGCCCAGGCTGCCAGCAAGAAGCCACAGGCTGCCCTACCAACAGGTTTTCAAGGGCTGGGGACAGAAATACAGACCTGGGACAGGGGGAGATGTGGACCTGTGAACACAGGGAGATGGGGTGCAGAGGGGCACGGGGCTGGGCACCCCGTGGAGGCTGTGCCTGCTGGGCCAGGAGATGCCCAGCATGGCTGCCTCCATCTCCCTGTGTGACGCTGTTTGCTCGTGCCTTATCTCCTGCGCTTGGCGCGGTGACACTTCCCCCAGCTCCAGGCGTGCCGGTGGCAGCCAGGCCCTTTTCCAAACACAACACGCGTGAGAGGCTGGCTTTGAAAAGCAACCGCCTGTTCACTCCTTTCACCACTGCTGCCCGCGTGGGGCTCTTCCTTCCCGGAAAGAGAGGTGGAAAAAAAAAGGGGCTAAACCCCACGATGAGCTGGGACAGTGGGATGTGGGTGAGAAAACTCACCAAGCAAAGACCAGGCTGCCAGAGGAGACCCCCATCCCAGGGAGGCCGGGAGCCACAGGAGGAGGAGGGGGGAAGGACAGCCCCCCCGCCCCGTACCACGCAGCCGAAGCCCCGCCGCCATCCATCCCTGCCGCTGCCGCACTCGCCAGAGCCTTTGAAGCCTCTTTTCTCCCCCGCCCACCCGCTGCGGGCTGGTTCAAAAGCAGATTTCGGCAGGCAGTGGGGTCCCCGGTGCAGGGCAGCTGCCAGTCAGGCTCCCCTGGGCATGGTGCCTCGCCCCGCTCCTGGCTCGGTCTCGGCGGAAGAGGGAGTTTTGCCCGTTTCGGCAGAGTTTCTCAGCGTCTCTCCGCGGGCGTGCCCATGGCCTTTCCAAGCCGGCATGCAGCTGTGGAGCCGGTCCAGCCCGTCAGACCTACAGTGCGCGGGGAGAGGAGAGGAGGACACAGCCAAGGACGCTTGGGAACTCATCCTTGAAACTCGGGCTTCAAGGGACGTGGCCAGGGCCACTCTTAGGCTTGGTGGCAGAGCAGAGCCCAGCTGCCTGCACCGCCTGGGGCAGGTCCGGAGTGGGCAGGGTGCCCAGACATCCCTGCGCCACTGCCAGCAGGGAAAGCCATCGGGTGTAACAGAGCCTGAAATGATAAGGATCCTGCCTGAGGCCGGTCCTGCCTCTTCCCTGCAGCGAGACCACGCAGAGCAGTCAGAGCACCCAGGGCTCAGGACAAACCTCCCTTGGGAGCAGCAGCAAAGAGGAGGACAGTCTCCCAGGGCAAGGGGGGACAGTGGGCTGGGCTTGCCAGACAGCACAAAGGCACATCCAACATCATCACAAAATAACCCCCAAGCTGCAAAAAGGAGCAACTTCTTCCCCAAACAGCTACAGGCCCACTGCCACTGAGAAAAGGAAAAAGCCTGGCAGGACATGAAGGGAGGACGGGTGTTTCTGCAGAGGATGGGGACATGGAGTGCCAGTGACAAAGGCTAACAAATCGCAGGAGAGATACTAAACCTCACGCTTTGGGGCTTAAGCTGATATAGCTATGAGAGATTAGGAGGAAATTTAAGGGGGGGGGGGGGGGGGGGGGGGGGGGGGAG